AACAAGACGTGCTGCTGCAAATGTTCAACTGAGTGAGCCGATACCTAGATGCCCAGAGGACCCTGGAGGAAACCTTCAACAGGACTAATTAACTTAGGCACCCACGGGAGGCCAGGAGACCACCGATATCTTGCACGTTAAGAGGCTGATTAATAAGCTAAATAGTCTTGGAGCAGCAAGTACAAGTGGCCAGGGTGGGACAGCCTCCTCTGATTGGACAAAATCCAGTAAGACTACAAAAGGCATGTGGGGTGTGCAGGGGAGAAGGGCACACAACACTACTGCACTGCAGAAGAGTATGTTGTGGGTTGCGCCTGGACAAAAGAGGATACATTTTGTATTGCCAATATCTCTACAAGAGAAAGCACTAGCTGGGATCCATGGCTTGACGGGTCACCAGGGACGAGAGAGAACTTTGTATCTGGCAAAGGCAGTGGTTATTTTTGGCAGAAATGGAGGCAGACGTCAGTGGTGCGTTGTGGCAAATATCCCAGAACCAGCAGCATTGGGACCACTGGAGATCATCAAGACGACGGCTCCAATGGAATTGGTCTACACATATCTGGTGTGTGGAAGACGGGCGACAGCGCTCAGTTGACGTCATGGTGGTTACAGACCATTTTATGAAAATGGTCCATGCCTTCCCCTGTATTAACCATACAGTGAAGCAGGTAGCTCAGAAATTGTGGGATCATGTGTTTTGTATTTACGGATTCCCGGAAAGGATCTATTCAGACCAAGCCACACATTTTGAGAATGAACTCATTGCAGAGCTGATGGCACTTGCAGGGGTGAAAAAGTCGAACACAACGGCGTGCCATCCAATGAGAAATGGAGAGAGAGATTTAACCACACTATAGAGAACATGCTAAGGACGTCATTGAGGGCCAAGCACGAGTGGCTTCAGCAAGTGCAGACTCTCACGTTCGCATATAATGTGAAGGTCGATGAGACGACGAGATACTCCCCTCTCTACCTGATATTTGGCCGCTTCAAACATCTGAATTAATGTTGTCTTCAGAAATGTATAACTAACTACAGCACTTATGAGAGGTTCTTGATGTCAGACCTGAAAGAGGCCGCAGCCACTGCTCAAAGCAGCACTTTGAACGAACAATGGCAACAAGCCATGGACTACAACAAGAGGGCCAAGGGTAGTATGTCCTTGAGAGAGGGTGACCGGGTGCTTCTTGCCAACAAAGGCGAGCGAGGCTGTCGAAAACTTACTGATGGGTGGGAGCCGCTTCTTTACGTAGTAGCAGATAGGAACTCGCATACCCACAAATACAAGGTTGTGGACCCAGAGGGAAATGAAAAGGTTGTGCACCGAAATCTTTTGCTTTAAGTGAATGTCTTACCCGTGGTAGACTTTGTGTCTGGTGAAGCAATGACTGAAGAGCTCAATTCTGTGAGTCGATCAGAATCCCGTAATGCGGAAAGTGGCTCTGAAACAGAGCGCCACCTTATTGCCACTGATAGGAGATGTGGGCTCAATTGCTTCATCAGAGAATGAAGAGCCTTTTGAGCACACAATATCGTGAGTGCTGCAGGATACTGGAGATGGGGCTACTCAGGATTTTCGGGATGGGATCGGTCATTCTGTTCACAGCAGCAGAAATTTGTGTTTGGTTCGAGGTTCTGTGGATCCAGGAGATCCACAGTGTCGGGAACTCGAGTTGCTCCGGATAATTCTCGACAAAATGAGACTCGTGTCTCATCGCCCACCTCTGACAGGGACATGAGTACAAGCGGCAATGTATCTCGAGTGACACAAGTTTTAGGGACTGATGGAAATGATAATGTGCCAGGGTGTTCATATGGAACAAGGGCTGGAAGGGAAGTGTGTCCAATAACCCAACTAACTGAGACTCTGCTACATAGACCCGTCCTGGGTAACAATGGGTTTGTGGTGTAGGAAATCACAGTCGATGTAAAATATGGGCAGCCATTATCAGATTTATTGAGAATTTAATGAGTTTTTAAAAATTTACTATCCGCATCTTTTTTTTTCATTTGTTCTTCTATTGCCTGTTCAGAGTGATAGGCTATTTTGGTGACCCAAAAAGCGTCGGGAGAGTTACCAAGTTCAGTGGGGTGTAGAATGCACCACATTCAACTAAGGAGACACTGGGGACTGAACATTATTGATGTTCTCCGTACTCGTAAAGTGAGTAGCTACTAAGCTCTAATAAGGAGATCAAGTCCTAGAGGTATACTTAGGCCCAGATGCTCTGTCGTCTCGTTTTGGTGTTGTAGCGGAGAGGTCTAGTGGCCTCTGTCGTAAGAGATGTTGATGGGGTTATTTTTATTTTTTAACAGGAGTGCTGCAATTATAGTGTGGTTCGGTGTGGGGGGGGGGGGGGTGTAGCCGATATGGGCTTAATGTAACGAATCACACGTATAATTATCAATAGAGTTAATGATGACCATGGATTGGACCCATAGATGTACGTGAACGCACAGTAGGCAACGCCCACCAGTGAAGTAATCAATGCAGAGTACAGGGTATTTATTCAGATTTGGATGGACGCTGTACAGGGATTGAGCAGTGAGGTATTGTGTAACGTGGGGTCGATCAGTGTGCATCTGATCATTAATTATAGATGCACAAATGCTCCCCAGAAGAACACTTTGAAATAAAGAGTTGCCGTTCCACAACCCTCCTCAAGAAGAGGGAAGAAGACAATGCAGAGTATCCACACTTTGCCTCCAAACTCGTCTATTATTATTGTTGTCTTTATTAAGCAGCCTGTCCCCTCGTTACGATCACTGGGAGGAGAGGAATAGGGCGAGCCGGTTACAGACAGATGCAGGCAATACGGGGAGATCGTTGTCTTTGTTTGTGTGGCACCTGGGTCTGTCCTGTGACCTCCTGTCAGCGAGCCTTCGACAATTCACGTGGCCTCAGAGTGCGCCTCCGAGTGTACCAGGTGGCGAATCGCGGCTGTTGTGTGTTTGCAAGTGCGCGTGCGTACGTGTGTGTGTACGTGTGTGTGTACGTGTGTATGTACGTGTGTGTGTACGTGTGTGTACGTGTCTGTGTGTACGTGTGTGTGTATGTACGTGTGTGTGTACGTGTGTGTGTATGTACGTATGTGTATGTACGTGTCTGTGTATGTACGTATGTGTATGTACGTGTCTGTGTGTACGTGTGTGTGTATGTACGTGTGTGTGTACGTGTCTATATGTACGTGTGTGTATATGTACGTGTGTGTATGTACGTGGTTGTGTGTGTACGTGTGTGTGTACGTGTGTGTACGTGTGTATGTACGTGCGTGTGTGTACGTACGTGTGTGTACGTGTGTGTGTGTATGTACGTGTGTGTGTGTACGTGTCTGTGTGTACGTGTGTATGTACGTGTGTATGTGTACGTGTCTGTGTGTACGTGTGTGTGTGTATGTACGTGTGTGTGTGTACGTGTGTGTGTGTGCGTGTGTGTGAAGCACAGCGAGGTTGCTTTGAGAGGCACCGCGCGTGATGAACGCGGCGCTGGGGTCATGCGAGGCGAGCGGCGCACGCCGACTGGTGGACACTTTCATTATTTATTTCCCTTTGTAATTAAAATTTAAAACTCCACATCCGCTACTGCAATGTTTCATACGTCCAGCTGAACGTTGTTCACGACAGTTTGAGAGCATTGAGCCAGGAACATTATTTGTTAAGCGTGAAGTAATTCTTGCGCGTTCGTAAAGGCGGGTATGTATGCTGGTAGGTCGTTATTCTGGGAGTTAGGAATTTAGATATGTAGGTAGGTTTCGTATATATCAGTAAGTAGGCATTCTGGCATATATGTGAATGTTGGCAAGTAGGTATGTAAGTTGGTTGTCATGTTTGTGGACTAGTAGGTAGAACAATTAACACGTAGACAAGGTAGGGGAGTATGATGGCAAGTCGATGGGTAGCCGGTGTTTAAACGACTGAGAGTCCACTGAGACAGTCATACATGTGAGTTCCATAAGTGTTGTGCTCTTATGTGGGTGGGTGTCGCGCTTTATGCATGGCCTGCAGCCGTGGGGCCTCGTCAGCGAAACCAGCCACTCAACCCGGCCACCTCAGCAAGTTTTACTCTGCGATTTGAAGATAATTAAAATGGGTCTGTGAAATTAAACGACACATTGCTTTAGTCACAGCTCCAATCCGCGGGCTCTGAGAAATACGTTTTTTTTTGTTTTAATTAGTTGCGATGCTGCTAAACTAATGGAAACATGGGTGAGCTATCGTCCTCCCATATGGTGGCATCCCCACCTTGATAGTCATTCACTCACTCTGCTCTGCGTCTAACGATGGAACCTTTACATGTGAATGTTTGCGTGCACGTGAGTGTGCGTATCAATGTGTGTGTGTGTGTGCTATTCGGGGGATCTTTGTCTTTGTGTATAAAATAGGTGCTCGCTAAGATCTTCCATCTTCTACGCTTTTGTCCCTCTCACGTGGGGTCTGCTGGCCTTGCCAACCTCCATGTTGCCCTGCGCCATCTCTCTTTCCGCTCCGTGGGCCACCATGTCCGATCGCACCACATCCCCCCACCACATCTTCTTACGTTTTCCTCTTGATCTCTTTCTTTTCACTTGCATCACTTGCACCTTCTGACCCACGTAATTTTCCTGTTGTGTCTCAACATAACCGAACCACACCAGCTTTTGATCGCTCATCTTCTCTGTCATTTCTACCACCTTGAGTTTTCCTCTCACTTAATTTCTGACCCTGTCCTTCCTTGTTAAACCCAACATCCACCGCAACATCCTCATTTCTGTGACTACCATAGCTTGGTCCTCCCTCTTTCTCATGCCCCAGCACGCAGCCCCATACAACAGCACCGGCTTCACCACCGTCTTGTACACTTTTTCTTTCAACCATCTGCCAGTCATCAAATTCAGATAACCCATGACGCCTGGGTCGGTCCCGTGACCAGTCCCTTAGCGGACCTTTGGCAATTTGCGTGGCCTCATAGTGCACTTAGCCTGACACGAGTGCTGACTGCTGCTGCCGCTGCCATTCAGGGGTGCACAAGCTTGAGGTGCCGAATGCGGAGGACGTGCCCAACGCAGAGCTGCACAGCGACCACACGATGCGCGTCGCGGGCGTTATCGCCGGGATCCTCGCCGTGCTCATCCTTCTCATGGGCGCCATCCTCTACATCAAGCGCCGGTACCGACCACATTCCTCGCCCGCTCGCACGCCTGCACGCACGCTCGCCCGTTTGCTCGCTCACTTGCTTGCTCATTCACTCGCTCACTCACTCATCCTCTAATTTACTCATCTTCTCATTCATTCACTCAACCACTCACTCATTCAGCCACTAAAGGACCCAATCATTCACTCACTGTCTCTAATTTACACACACAGCTACTCATTCGCTATAAATTTCTCTCGTGCACTCACTCATGCACTCGCTCACCCACACTGACCCACATGTTTACCCACACACCCATGCACTATTTTTGCTCACACTTGTACATACACACCCCCGTGTACACTTGCGTACCACCCCCATGTGCGCTCCCCTCAGAGATCCCTGCCCCGCATGAGTGCCCCCATGCGCATTACACTGAATCGGAAGGGGCTAATGTGGCCCTCCTTAGACTCGATCGGGCCCCCCCTCCCCCCCCCCCGGGGTTCATTGATCCCCCCCGGGATTCCTCTGGGCCGGCTCGGCATGAAATATCAAGACTACCTCCCGTGCTACCTGCGTTCAATCGGACCGTGAATAGTCATTTAATTTTTAATTGGCTGCATAATTGATTACATTATTAATAATCAATCAGCTGTTAATCTAGATCGTTATCGATCAGGCCATTATAAATTAGTTAAATTATAGGTGAATTATACCTTTATTTAATTTACGTATTCATAAATTCCTCCTGCCGTCCCCCAGACAAATCCTGGCACGAGCGCTTGGCCAGGGATTGGTGTAGCCCCCCTTTGGGGACCGTGGTAACCACATGAACCCTGCGGGGTCACGGTGGCCACACGAGCGCCGATGTCGGCCAGTTGTCGCACTCATGCCACGGCTCTCCGTGTGTTGTTTAGCACGATCCCGCCGTGTGATGTTCGGCACTATGCCTGACGTTTCGCTCCAAAATAATTTCCTGAAAGAGCAGAGTTTAGCTTTGTTGGTTGCATGACTGGTATGACCCACTGCTTGAGATTACCAGGTGCCGTAGTCTTGCGGCACTATGAGATGGCAGAACAGCAAGGGGTCCTCAAATCCAATTATCTGCGCATCTCGTGACCGTGGTGGGTTTTCTCTCGGTATTTTAGCTTCCTCCCACACAAAGACAAACACCCGTTAGTGGAATTGGCCAATTATCCCATTGCAGGACTCTTCTAAAATAGACAGTTTTTCTTAAAGCCGCCGGTACATGATGCGAAACGTCAGACATCACATCAACCAAGACAAGGCACAACCATAAAGCTAACCGGAGAGAGCCACGTGGCACATTACCGACAGTGAGTGACCGGCTTGCATATAAGGGGGTGGCAGGGTGGTGCGCAGCAACACTCGTGCCTCACAGCAAGAAGGGCTTTGGTTCAAATTCTGACTCCAGTGTCTTCTTGTGCGGAGTTTGTATGTTCTTCCTCATGTTCTGCATGGGTTTCCTTCCATAGCTAAAAAAGCATACAATGCAACTGGTTTTGGCCAAACATCCGCAGCACCCTCCTGATTAAGGGTCATCTAGGTTCAGTGTAGTTTTCCTGGTTAAATAAGCAAGAGTCATAGAATGTACTTATCCCTCCAACAGCGGTTCGGTCTGCGATAGCCGGCCAGTGGGTGGCCCGCTGGCACGCGCGCAGTGCGCACGAGGCCCTGGCGGCTGGTCGGGTTGTGCGGTCGCGAGCGCCGCTCATTGCCTGCTCCGTGCTTGGCCACCTGGCGGGGCCGGGATGCCCGCACGCTTCGCGCGTCTAACGCGCGTCGCCTCTTTAGAGGTCTTACTCTCCATTTGCCCCTCATCTGTGCACTCGCCGGTGCTGCCTTGTCGAAGATAAGACGGTGGATCTTTGTAGATGTCAATGTTATATTTACACGTGTATAAATATCGACATGCTGAGGTTTTTTTAAAATGCACCAACAAAATTGTGCAAGTCGAATTTTTCGTCAAGACATGTGGCTTTTATTCAAAATGGACAACATATTAAACAATCTCTCTTTTAGAATGGACTGCATTATGGGACAGGCAAAGCTGTGGTTATGTAAAAGAAAAAAAATACATAATTATAAGTAAAAAAAATATTAGTTTTTAAACGTTCTATGATTTTTTTTTTCTCTGGCTGAATTATACATTGTTTTGGCCGCTATATCCTAAAACAAATCTCATTAACATAACAAATCACCTTCTTATGCTTGGCAGGAGGAGCTCCCATTCATACTCCTATTACTTGTAAGTAGCAATAAAGTCACATAACGTATCTGCTTAAATTACCACCCGCGACACACGTGACCTCATCACCCTCATCCATCCCTCCATCCATCCTTTTCTCCGCGGGTCCCTCCATTCCACACGGCTTTACCGCACGTACGCGACCGCCACTCTCCCTCTCCCTGGGAGCCTCTCCCGCACGGCTTTAACATTCCCTACGCATCTCCCTGTGGGAACGGTATTGCTCGCTTGGCCCCGGCATTCCCACGCGTCTCAGTGGCTCCGTCTCCACGTCATCACATTCCCCCGATACAGTCCGCCACCCGCGTGGACGTTGGCGAAGGGAATAATTCAAGTCGTAATGCAGTGTTTGTGTGTTTTTATCTCGTCCTGGGGAGCGGCTTCGTCTGCGCGATAACGAGTGCCCCGAGGGGCGAGGCCACCGGAGTGTCGCTACAACGTAGCCGTTTAACTCCGAGCATACTTCTCCTTTCACGTTCGTTGCAAGATTTTTCTTACGTCTTTTCGGAACTCTCACAGAGCAGCCCCATCTTAGAGAACGGCCCACAAAAGTAATTTAACACAGTACTGCGTCTGAAATTCCATTAAATGGCCTTTTTATCCACACACTACAGGATGGTATATTCCGCAGCGGATAAATGTTCATTTCATTGTGACCAAACTGATATTTTTAATTTTCAGAGTTGGATTTTATCCAGATTAAACGAGAACCAAATTATATACGATGGGATTTTTTGTGCAGTGATTGGTGACTGGGCTGCCACGGCCATTATTATGTTTAAAGGACTCCATCCCTCCAAGCGGCTCCGTTGCTGGTGCCAACTCACACTACAGAGGCCTGTGAGCTTACAAAGCGAAAACAACGTTCTCAAGCATTGGGGGGTGAGGGGGAGATTTACTGTTTGTGTGCTCTAATGTTAATGAGCACGACCAGGCAGAGCGGGTTGAGCATTAGAGGTTGGGGTAGGCCTTTATTTGGGGCGTGGGGGTTCCGTGCGGTACGCAGCGTCGCCTGTGCCGCTGCGCATTCGGTAGCGGCATCGTCTCGCACGCGCGCTCACACGCTTCCGTGCGTACACATGCACACACGCACGTACTCACACGGACAAACGCTCGTACGCACACAGACACGTACGTACGCACACGGACACACGCTCGTGCGCCCCACCGTGCGATCGTTCATATACAATTGTGTAGCGTTTGGTGATGGCTCGTGTGGTGCTTGCTCTCACACGTGTAAGCTCATGTGGTGGGGTGGAGTGGTGGCGCAGTAGTTAGCGTGCTGCTCCACCAACCGAGCGGACCTGAGTTCAATACCTGTGATATTTGAACTCGTCCGGGACCCCCTGGTTCATCAACCCACACTAATCAGCATGGTGAAGTGTGGTCAAGCAACCAGTTTAACTTTCACAGCGTGGGAAGACCTTCATCCAGCAGTGGATTCATTGGAAAGAGCTATAAACTTTTATTATTAATTATTTGAAAACTTTAATACATATAATATAATTACCCCACAAAGGCAAAGATCCTCTATATAGCCTACACAGGCTAATAGGGCAAGGGCTGTTAGCGGGCACCTACGATGTCTGGCACGGTGCACCATCATCACTCCTTCACATTCACACACGCGAGCACACAGCCAGACACAATGACAGAACTGTGCCAGCACACGCTACACATCGAACGCACAGGAGACCGTAACCTTCCCCTTGTTTCATTTTGCTTTGCTTTTGTTTGGCCGCAGGAAGCTGGCGAAGAAGCGCAAGGAGAACGTCGAGCGCAGCAAGCAGGAAATGACGCAGATGGTGGTGAACACGATGGAGCGGAGCTTCCCCGAGCCGAGCCTCACGCTCATGGACGAGCCGGTCTCCTTCCTGGACACGCACAACGTCACCATGCAATGTGAGCGCTCCTGCTGCGGCGGTGCAAGCGCCACGCGTGGACGACCGAGTGTCGCGCCACGCCGGCGGGTGGGAGAGTGGCATGTGCGCGCGCCGTCTCGTCATAGCGGTCTCCGGCTGCTCCTGCGAGCATCCAGGCGGAGTTCGTCTCCCATTTACGGTCCTGGGCCAGTGGTGGAAATTCCACGTTCGTATGACGAGTGTGAGAACAACCACTGTTGACTTCCCCACAAAAGTGGTACTCATTTAATCAGCCACAGAGGGATGATGGGCTGAATCGACTGCTCCCCCCCCTCCCCCCCAGCCAGGATGTGAACTCGTGACCTTCCAGTTACGAGCCACTCACCGCACCACTGTGCCGCCTGGCCAGATCATCAGCAACATAATAAACACTGCCCATGGTCTTGAGTGGTGTATTATTATTTTTTGTATTATTTTTATTTCCCCGGGAAGACTTAGTGATTTCCCAAGAGAGCAGCAGCTGTCTCAAGAAGAGGAAAATACCGGGAAAAACAGGAGCGGGTGTCAAATTTTAGCGAACCCAACGTGCGTTCTTCCTGCACTGTGTCCGAGAGTAAGCGCGCGAGATCTGGATATGAGACCCATCACGTCGGGGGGGGGGGGCGCAAAGGATTCATCGGTGCAATCGTCACCTTGGCTGCACTAATTGCGTGCTGGAGGGGAATATTGTTACCGTGGCCACATGTCGTGCTTCTAGTTTTAGCGTCGCGCTCAGTCACGTGTGACACTGCAGGGGGGCTCTTGCAGTGCCAGACGTGGCCGGGGTGCGGTGCCGATGTGTGAGACACCAAAGAATCTCGGAGACATTCTGTCACTCTGTAGAGATGGCTGTGGATGTGTAGTTTTTATGATGCTCTTTGGAAGCTGTGATTGCGTTGGCAGCCTAATTGACAGAATGATATTGATATAATTAAAAATAGTTGATCACTTTTTATATACGGAATAATGATTGTCAACTATGTAAAATTAAGTAATTCAAGTCATGCTTTTTCTTTAAAATAACTGAAATAACTGAAAATTAATGAAATAGTGTTCTGTAATGACATGTATTAGAGCAACGGTCCCCCACCTTTTTGGCACCAGGGACCGGTTTCGTGGAGGTCTAATTTTTTCACGGACCAGGGGGGGAGTTCATCATTGCGTGTTTCCCCCTTTTCAAAGAAGCTCTCCAGCGATGTTTGATTTTTACTCATTTTAGCTAGGGTTAGCTTGTGGGCTTACTCATTGTGGCTACTAGGGGTTAGCTTGTGGGCTTACTCATTGTGGCTACTAGGGGTTAGCTTGTGGGCTTACTCATTGTGGCTACTAGGGGTTAGCTTGTGGGCTTACTCATTGTGGCTACTAGGGGTTAGCTTGTGGGCTTACTCATTGTGGCTACTAGGGGTTAGCTTGTGGGCTTACTCATTGTGGCTACTAGGGGTTAGCTTGTGGGCTTACTCATTGTGGCTACTAGGGGTTAGCTTGTGGGCTTACTCATTGTGGCTACTAGGGGTTAGCTTGTGGGCTTACTCATTGTGGCTACTAGAGGTTAGCTTGTGGGCTTACTCATTGTGGCTACTAGGGGTTAGCTTGTGGGCTTACTCATTGTGGCTACTAGGGGTTAGAGCTTGTGGGCTTACTCATTGTGGCTACTAGGGGTTAGCTTGTGGGCTTACTCCTTGTGGCTACTAGGGGTTAGCTTGTGGGCTTACTCATTGTGGCTACTAGGGGTTAGCTTGTGGGCTTACTCATTGTGGCTACTAGGGGTTAGCTTGTGGGCTTGCTCATTGTGGCTACTAAGGGTTAGCTTGTGGGCTTACTCACTGTGGCTACTAGAGGTTAGCTTGTGGGCTTACTCCTTGTGGCTACTAGGGGTTAGCTTGTGGGCTTACTCATTGTGGCTACTAGGGGTTAGCTTGTGGGCTTACTCATTGTGGCTACTAGGGGTTAGCTTGTGGGCTTACTCCTTGTGGCTACTAGGGGTTAGCTTGTGGGCTTACTCATTGTGGCTACTAGGGGTTAGCTTGTGGGCTTACTCATTGTGGCTACTAGGGGTTAGCTTGTGGGCTTACTCATTGTGGCTACTAGGGGTTAGCTTGTGGGCTTACTCATTGTGGCTACTAGAGGTTAGCTTGTGGGCTTACTCATTGTGGCTACTAGGGGTTAGCTTGTGGGCTTACTCATTGTGGCTACTAGGGGTTAGAGCTTGTGGGCTTACTCATTGTGGCTACTAGGGGTTAGCTTGTGGGCTTACTCCTTGTGGCTACTAGGGGTTAGCTTGTGGGCTTACTCATTGTGGCTACTAGGGGTTAGCTTGTGGGTTTACTCATTGTGGCTACTAGGGGTTAGCTTGTGGGCTTACTCCTTGTGGCTACTAGGGGTTAGCTTGTGGGCTTACTCCTTGTGGCTACTAGGGGTTAGCTTGTGGGCTTACTCATTGTGGCTACTAGGGGTTAGCTTGTGGGCTTACTCATTGTGGCTACTAGGGGTTAGCTTGTGGGCTTACTCATTGTGGCTACTAGGGGTTAGCTTGTGGGCTTACTCATTGTGGCTACTAGGGGTTAGCTTGTGGGCTTACTCATTGTGGCTACTAGGGGTTAGCTTGTGGGCTTACTCATTGTGGCTACTAGAGGTTAGCTTGTGGGCTTACTCATTGTGGCTACTAGGGGTTAGCTTGTGGGCTTACTCATTGTGGCTACTAGGGGTTAGAGCTTGTGGGCTTACTCATTGTGGCTACTAGGGGTTAGCTTGTGGGCTTACTCCTTGTGGCTACTAGGGGTTAGCTTGTGGGCTTACTCATTGTGGCTACTAGGGGTTAGCTTGTGGGCTTACTCATTGTGGCTACTAGGGGTTAGCTTGTGGGCTTGCTCATTGTGGCTACTAGGGGTTAGCTTGTGAGCTTACTCACTGTGGCTACTAGAGGTTAGCTTGTGGGCTTACTCCTTGTGGCTACTAGGGGTTAGCTTGTGGGCTTACTCATTGTGGCTACTAGGGGTTAGCTTGTGGGCTTACTCATTGTGGCTACTAGGGGTTAGCTTGTGGGCTTACTCCTTGTGGCTACTAGGGGTTAGCTTGTGGGCTTACTCATTGCGGCTACTAGGGGTTAGCTTGTGGGCTTACTCATTGTGGCTACTAGGGGTTAGCTTGTGGGCTTACTCATTGTGGCTACTAGGGGTTAGCTTGTGGGCTTACTCATTGTGGCTACTAGAGGTTAGCTTGTGGGCTTACTCATTGTGGCTACTAGGGGTTAGCTTGTGGGCTTACTCATTGTGGCTACTAGGGGTTAGAGCTTGTGGGCTTACTCATTGTGGCTACTAGGGGTTAGCTTGTGGGCTTACTCCTTGTGGCTACTAGGGGTTAGCTTGTGGGCTTACTCATTGTGGCTACTAGGGGTTAGCTTGTGGGCTTACTCATTGTGGCTACTAGGGGTTAGCTTGTGGGCTTGCTCATTGTGGCTACTAGGGGTTAGCTTGTGAGCTTACTCACTGTGGCTACTAGAGGTTAGCTTGTGGGCTTACTCCTTGTGGCTACTAGGGGTTAGCTTGTGGGCTTACTCATTGTGGCTACTAGGGGTTAGCTTGTGGGCTTACTCATTGTGGCTACTAGGGGTTAGCTTGTGGGCTTACTCCTTGTGGCTACTAGGGGTTAGCTTGTGGGCTTACTCATTGTGGCTACTAGGGGTTAGCTTGTGGGCTTACTCCTTGTGGCTACTAGGGGTTAGCTTGTGGGCTTACTCATTGTGGCTACTAGGGGTTATATTGTGGGCTTACTCATTGTGGCTACTAGGGGTTAGCTTGTGGGCTTAGTCATTGTGGCTACTAGGGGTTAGCTTGTGGGCTTACTCATTGTGGCTACTAGGGGTTAGCTTGTGGGCTTACTCATTGTGGCTACTAGGGTTAGCTTGTGGGCTTACTCATTGTGGCTACTAGGGTTAGCTTGTGGGCTTACTCATTGTGGCTACTAGGGTTAGCTTGTGGGCTTACTCATTGTGGCTACTAGGGGTTAGCTTGTGGGCTTACTCATTGTGGCTACTAGGGTTAGCTTGTGGGCTTACTCATTGTGGCTACTAGGGTTAGCTTGTGGGCTTACTCATTGTGGCTACTAGGGTTAGCTTGTGGGCTTACTCATTGTGGCTACGAGGGGTTAGCTTGTGGGCTTACTCACTGTGGCTACTAGGGGTTAGCTTGTGGGCTTACTCACTGTGGCTACTAGGGGTTAGCTTGTGGGCTTACTCCTTGTGGCTACTAGGGGTTAGCTTGTGGGCTTAGTCATTGTGGCTACTAGGGGTTAGCTTGTGGGCTTACTCATTGTGGCTACTAGGGGTTAGCTTGTGTGCTTACTCATTGTGGCTACTAGGAGTTAGCTTGTGGGCTTACTCATTGTGGCTACTAGGGGTTAGCTTGTGGGCTTACTCATTGTGGCTACTAGGGGTTAGCTTGTGGGCTTACTCCTTGTGGCTACTAGGGGTTAGCTTGTGGGCTTAGTCATTGTGGCTACTAGGGGTTAGCTTGTTGGCTTACTCCTTGTGGCTACTAGAGGTTAGCTTGTGGGCTTACTCATTGTGGCTACTAGGGGTTAGCTTGTGGGCTTACTCATTGTGGCTACTAGGGGTTAGAGCTTGTGGGCTTACTCCTTGTGGCTACTAGGGGTTAGCTTGTGGGCTTACTCATTGTGGCTACTAGGGGTTAGCTTGTGGGCTTACTCCTTGTGGCTACTAGGGGTTAGCTTGTGGGCTTACTCATTGTGGCTACTAGGGGTTAGATTGTGGGCTTACTCATTGTGGCTACTAGGGGTTAGCTTGTGGGCTTAGTCATTGTGGCTACTAGGGGTTAGCTTGTGGGCTTACTCATTGTGGCTACTAGGGGTTAGCTTGTGGGCTTACTCATTGTGGCTACTAGGGTTAGCTTGTGGGCTTACTCATTGTGGCTACTAGGGTTAGCTTGTGGGCTTACTCATTGTGGCTACTAGGGTTAGCTTGTGGGCTTACTCATTGTGGCTACTAGGGGTTAGCTTGTGGGCTTACTCATTGTGGCTACTAGGGTTAGCTTGTGGGCTTACTCATTGTGGCTACTAGGGTTAGCTTGTGGGCTTACTCATTGTGGCTACTAGGGTTAGCTTGTGGGCTTACTCATTGTGGCTACTAGGGGTTAGCTTGTGGGCTTACTCACTGTGGCTACTAGGGGTTAGCTTGTGGGCTTACTCACTGTGGCTACTAGGGGTTAGCTTGTGGGCTTACTCCTTGTGGCTACTAGGGGTTAGCTTGTGGGCTTAGTCATTGTGGCTACTAGGGGTTAGCTTGTGGGCTTACTCATTGTGGCTACTAGGGGTTAGCTTGTGGGCTTACTCATTGTGGCTACTAGGAGTTAGCTTGTGGGCTTACTCATTGTGGCTACTAGGGGTTAGCTTGTGGGCTTACTCATTGTGGCTACTAGGGGTTAGCTTGTGGGCTTACTCCTTGTGGCTACTAGGGGTTAGCTTGTGGGCTTAGTCATTGTGGCTACTAGGGGTTAGCTTGTTGGCTTACTCCTTGTGGCTACTAGAGGTTAGCTTGTGGGCTTACTCATTGTGGCTACTAGGGGTTAGCTTGTGGGCTTACTCATTGTGGCTACTAGGGGTTAGCTTGTGGGCTTACTCATTGTGGCTACTAGGGCTTAGCTTGTGGGCTTACTCATTGTGGCTACTAGGGGTTAGCTTGTGGGCTTAGTCATTGTGGCTACTAGGGGTTAGCTTGTGGGCTTACTCACTGTGGCTACTAGGGGTTAGCTTGTGGGCTTACTCATTGTGGCTACTAGGGTTAGCTTGTGGGCTTACTCATTGTGGCTACTAGGGGTTAGCTTGTGGGGCTTACTCACTGTGGCTACTAGGGGTTAGCTTGTGAGCTTAGTCATTGTGGCTACTAGGGGTTAGAGCTTGTGGGCTTACTCCTTGTGGCTACTAGGGGTTAGCTTGTGGGCTTACTCATTGTGGCTACTAGGGGTTAGCTTGTGGGCTTACTCACTGTGGCTACTAGGGGTTGGCTTGTGAGCTTAGTCATTGTGGCTACTAGGGGTTAGAGCTTGTGGGCTTAATCCTTGTGGCTACTAGGGGTTAGCTTGTGGGCTTACTCACTGTGGCTACTAGGGGTTAGCTTGTGGGCTTACTCATTGTGGCTACTAGGGGTTAGCTTGTGGGCTTACTCCTTGTGGCTACTAGGGGTTAGCTTGTGGGCTTACTCATTGTGGCTACTAGGGGTTAGCTTGTGGGCTTACTCATTGTGGCTACTAGGGGTTAGCTTGTGGGCTTACTCATTGTGGCTACTAGGGGTTAGCTTGTGGGCTTACCAACACTGTGACTGAGACAAGTGCGCAGTGCGGGAAACAGGCGCGGACGGAAGTGGTAAATAATAAAATAATGGGCGGGCCACGCGCGGACTCACCGCACTCACCTTCTGCTGTGCGGCCCGGTTCCGAACAGGCCACGGACCGGTAGCGGTCCGCGACCCGGGGGTTGGGGACCCCTGTATTAGAGAAGACAAGTCCGTGGCTTGGGCAGGACACATCGCGAGACGAGATGATGATAATGATGGCCGGTGGGGAAAACTACCAATGAAGTGGCAGCCAATGGAGCTCACACACCCGAGAGGGCGTTCCCCCACAGAGATGGAGCATTTAAATCAGCTCATTTGTAGGTGCTCAGTGGATTGTTACAACATCACAGCACTGCGCGAGATTGTCATCCAGCAATGGATTGATCATGGCTGATGATGACGAAAATGGTGGAAGCAAAACATATTTGCACACTTGAGTTGCCCAACCCTCAATCTAAATCCGGTTCAAGTGACCACTCGGAGAGACGCGGTGATGCTCACCTGGTGACCCATGACCCAAGATCTGGCTTCTACAGCACAGCACAGTCTCATTGATTCAGAGCATAGCCGTGCATCATCTCTCACAACTGCGGCTGTCGAGCCCGCCATTAAAAAATATCACGGCTCATTTTCGGTCGCCAATCGTCTGGGCTGTGGCCTTGGCGCGAGCTTCATCTGAAGTCCATTACCTGTTAATCATCATCAAATTGACTCTGCGTTTTAATTGCTAGTGGCCCTTTCCGCTGAACTGACAATAATTAACGTTTATTACATGCCGCATCATGCGGGTTGGATATTGAGAACCGCGTTTCGCACGACGCTGGGCTTTAACGACGCAACGCGAGCGAAAAGTTTGCTCGGAGAAGGAGAGAGATGCGCTTGTGAGTGTGGCTCTGTGGTGCGGTGTGCAGGAGAGACGCTACTGCGTCTGTTTGAGTGAGGCTCCTCACTCCGATATACGTTGCCTCCATCCAGCAGTGGAGTGACAAAAGGGAGTTTCTATGTTCCCACTTGACACACAGATACAATTAGCACCGAGACAACATATACACCTGCGGTCATATAATCACCGGCCATGATCAATCTACTGCTGGATGGAGGCCTCCCTCAGCCAACGGCACCTGTCACGATCCTACGATATAATAAATGGACCGCGCTCTATGTAATTTGGTGGCAAGCGAGAAGAGGCCGCCTCTCGGTGTTGTCATTCACCTTCCGTGGCTCGCGGCTCGATCCCTCGCTGCGCAAGGGCTGGCCGAGTGTCTGCGTCGAACCCATTCCCTCTGGCGCCCTCATCTCGTGATGCCCTCGTGTGCACCTCAGCAGATCGCTTTCGTGGCCAATTATTATCGGTGCCGGTAAAAAAAATTTATCTTTAACGCGAAAGTTCGAAAGATCACGCTGTAATTGCACATGAAAGGTGGATACGGAGCTGGGATTAACCCCAATTCGCCAGCCCGCGCAACTACGTGACTTCATCAGCTCCATTCCCGGTAACGGACGGTAATTACAATCAGAGCGCAATCGGGATTTGTTACTCCGTAACTTGGCATCACAAGTTGGAGAGTTAAATTACACTTTAAATAACTTTAGATTTCCACATTCAAGTCTCTTATTGGCCCCATCGTTGTTCCCTGCGCGACTTCAATTAGGAATGTAATGATGAAAGGATTGCTGGTGGTACTTCATTTTCAGTGCTTTACCAGGCCTAACTTGCGTTTAATAATCGGCTGCAAACTTAAACATGGACGTGAAGAAAATGGAATGTAAATCTGAATTGGGAAAATGACTCATGGGAATTCATTTGTTGTTATTCTTATTGCTGATTTGGTTTTTAGCAAGAGCCACACGGTTCCAGAGAGGCTCGGCATATTCTGTTCACGGATCTTTATTAAATGCCGTCCTGATATAAATAATCGCTTAATCAGTGCACAGGCGACCGCTCCAGGCTAAATCACCATCTCCCCGTGGCATCACCCGTGCGGTGAGAGCGAACACGCGTGCCGACGCATGCCAACGAGACGGAGCGATGAAATCGGTTCAGTGCAGGATCGTCAGAGGTGGTGGCGGCAGCAGCGGGGCTAGGCCTTAATCCTGCAGTGGATTGAGCCTGGCCGATGGAGACGATGACTCTATCTCTGGCGTGCGTACGTTGCGCATTGCTCATTAGCGCGACTCAAAACTCTCCAGATTTCAGCGAGGGCAGGGATGGACGGATAAATCGTCGCCATATAGGGCAATTACCAACGTGCTAACCTCTGGGGTTTTTTGTAATATATATAAAAAAATAATTTGCTGTTTTATAATGGTAGCAAAAAAGATAATTTCCATTTGATAATTGTTGTTCTGGTCGAGGGAACAGGGACACGAGATTGGAAAGTTTGCGCCGGCCCTGATATTTAATTACCGCTCTCGTAATGGGTTTGGCTAATCGAGTGCGCGCCGCTGTCCACCAGCCCCCTGTGCATGGCTCCCCCTTGCTCCCCCGTGAGAAATCCGCGTGCATTCACTCCACTTTACAAACTTTTGGACGTTTTATGACCTAATTTCGTGAAGCAGGCGAGATAAAAAAAATATTAGTTTAACGACGTAAGAATTCAGCAACAGCGCAGACGTTATTATCCGAAACCATTTGGAAACCCTAGCCAGCATTTGTGAATTAACCTGACCACACCGCACGCATCCGTAGACGCGTATCAATGAGCCGGCAGTGTCTCTGTGGGAGGGGGGGGAGTTGTTTAAGATTTTTTATATTCATTGGTGAAGCCTGAGATGGCAGGGCATCAAAGGTGGCTCTGTCATATCCACGAACATGAACTACTCTGTAATAGCATTCCAAATGGATACTCTGTCTAATGGCATGATTCCTATAGCACAATCAGGATAAAATTGGATTAAAAAGACAATAAAGCAGCTTAATAGACCCCTGCATGATGCCCATGGACGAAAGCATCGAGGAGTGAAACTCAGGCACCGCAATAAGATAGAGAACATGACAACAATGTCGTGATGCTGAATGCACCTGCATTAGGGTGGGCAGTATCACTTACACAAGCACGGGGCTTCTGGCAATAATACGAGCGGGAAGTCTCTCAATCAATCCAATATGTTTAATCGCCATAACGATGGTGAGACAGCTCAAATTCGGCACAGAGAGAGATTAGAAGGCAGCTTCTCGGTCCAATGGTGGGCGCGGCGCGCTCGTACCTGCTAGGTCACCGCGCTCGCTTGCGGCCGTGCCATGGTGACGCTGACCGCGTGTGCGTGTGTGCGTGTGTGGTTTCCCTCCTTCCCTCTGCCCGCAGCGTTTTGCCCGTCTCCTACCAACACGGTGCAGACGCACGGCACCCTGTGCCGCACCGCGCAGCCATACTTCATTCAAGGTTCGCCCTCCGCGTGCAAGCGTGCATAAGTGTGTGTGCGCGTGTGTACAAGAATGTCAGCGAGTGCACGTCTGTCCAATGAGCGTATGCGCGAGCCTGCGTATGAACGAGTGCATGAACGCGCGTGCATACAAACGCGTGCGAGCGCGTCTGCGCGTGCAGGCGAGCGTGTGGGCCCATGTGGGTGTCGTGTGCGTGGGAGCGTGCGTACACACACGCGTCTAGGTGCGCGCGTAGGCGTCTCCGCTTGCGCAGGGATCGATAGCCGGGGGCTGTGCCGAGGGCGCCGTTTCGCTTTGTGGCGGGAGGCCCGCGGAGCGAGCAGTGAGAGCCGCGTCCGGGGACCGTTATGAAGTGGTGCATTAGATGCACCACTTCACAATTCATTAAAGGTGCCCCCGGTAGCCGGAATATCATAACATTGGCAAATAATCTAGATTGCTACTGCCAGACTTTTAATCCACACCCATAAACAAGACCAGTTTGCCCTGGTATTCAAATCCCTTCACTGGCTCCCGATTCAATCCCTCATCAACTCTCGTCTCTCTCCCTCACTATTCTCAGGAGCCCACCGCTGCCTGCCACTCGAATCCTCTCCACGTGCTCTCTGCTCCAGTAACCGAGACCCTTTGCCAAAACTCTAACTCAACCCTTGCTCTGCTGCTGCTGCTGCAGTTCTCAAGGTCTGCCCATCTGAGACCTCCTCCTTCCCTGGATTGAATCCTGGCTCACGCCGTTCCTATTCTCCCGTGCGCGTGGCTTCCTCTCTCTCTCTCTCTGAGCGAAGTGTCTCTACATCTGCCCTTCTTCTCTAAGGTTGCTTCAGTGCAACCCCTCGATCCCTACCGTATACAAATCCGTACGGCCAGACTTTCTTGACGAGGATGCCCACCCTGTTTATTTGGTGTGGGTCTACGTTGGCAAGGGAGGCACCGCGAGGTTACAGCCCTGCGATTGGTTGCTCGCGCCACTGCTGGCAGACAGGCCTCCAGTGCAATGAGCTCTCGAGGGGATTCTTTCATGTTGATCAGACGTGTTGGAAGAGGTAGGAGTACCCACATTTTGCCCCACCAAACGTCGTGACCCATTCGTTCTGCTGGCTAGGGGGTTTGAGAAACTTGCTCCATTGTATTTTGATTTAAAGCTTTCGTGACTGCAGTAATTCATATTCTTAGTTTTTTCGGTAAAGTCACGTTGAAGAGAAACAACAAAATAACAAAATATATATAAAACAATAAAAAATTCTCACGACGTTTCGACCATAACTCAAACGGTCATCATCAGGTGTGTCGGTTTGCATAACCATAATAAAATATATATAAAACAATAAAAAATTCTCACGACGTTTCGACCATAACTCAAACGGTCATCATCAGGTGTGTCGGTTTGCATAACCGACACACCTGATGATGACCGTTTGAGTTATGGTTGAAACGTCGTGAGAATTTTTTATTGTTTTATATATATTTTGTTATTTTGTTGTTTCTCTTCAATTGCTCCATTGTTTCAACTGCCGTGAGATCAAATCAGACCAGCGACCGCTGAATTGCAAGTCCAGTGCGCCGACCACTACCAGGTCAAGGCAGATTTGTATTTTGCCCGACAGTAGTGACAAGGCTCACGACTCCAGCTATTAAAGAAATAATTCCACACATGTTATAATGCAGCGTTTTTCATCTGTTGTAGCCTGATGCCATCAGAGTTCGGCAGCTAAGCAAAGTTGAGCCTAGTTAGCACTTGGATGGAACACTATATTTGGGATGTTCTCCCCTCACACGTGGAGAAGCTGCCGGCACGTGGAGCGAAACGTCGGAAATCGTGGTGCCACTGAGCGACACGCGGAACAACCCAAAAACGCATCGGAGAGTGTTTTCGTTATTGTGAAGTCACATCCTGTGGAGTTTAGAGTTTGAATACATTGCTTCGTTGCTTGGGTAGAGATGAGAGCAGTGCGTGGGAGCCACATGCCGGCTCTGATGTCACCACTCGTCCTGGCGAGCAGCACGACGCCGCCCTGTCCACGCAACCTCCCTCTCCCGCTGGCTTTTCCTTTCACGGTTTTCTCACATTTTCTGTTGTTTTCTTGATTATTCATTCTTATTCTTCTCCCAACTGATTCTCTTTTGCTTTCTGCCTTTTCCTCCCAACCCGTGTCCCCCCCCACCTCCCCCCCTCCCTCCCTCCCGCCCCCCCCCACTCCCCACCTCCCTTCCCGGACTCGTAACGGTCACTCCTCTGCGGCCTTTTGCACGGCAGTTCACGATGACTTGTTTGCATCCATTGAAGCCTTAGGTGAGAACCGACCGCTACGCGCACTTTGTTCCATGGCCTCGTGCGTGCGTCCACGTGTTTGTGTGTGTGTGCACGTTAGTGTGCTTGAGCGTGTGCGCACGCGTGCATGCCTGAGCCGGTGTGTGTGTGTGTGTGCATGAGTGTGCATGAGCAAGTGCAGAAGAATAGGTCTCGGCTTGTGGCACATTTTCACACTCCTGTGTAGATGTGAGTGCGTGTGTGTGTAATGAGGAGCGACAGCACAGTGGTTAATGCACCGCTCTACAAACTCGGCGATCTGAGTTTGATTTCTGCTCGCAGTCAATATCCGTGGCACATTTCCCCACTCGTGTGTAGATGTGCGCTCGCGTGCACGTGTGTGCGTGTGTGCACGTTTGTGTACACTCTGAACCACTGGCGGAGCCAGTGGGGGGTGGGGTGACACGTGCCCCTCCAAAATGAGGGAGTTCGATTGGATCATTGGTGTTTATTCGTAATGAATCGGCATTTTGCGACCCCCACTGCCACTGTGTAGCATATTACGTGCCAGGGACTCTGTGAGATGATAGGACAATAGTCTGAGTCCATAATTAACAATATGCAATGGCAAAGCAGTTATAAGTGACTCACAGAAATGTGCACAGTTGCGTATACAGAGTCCACGACTTCCCTGAAGGCAAACACCTTCAGCAAGCGCGATGCCGATCACAAACGGTTCGAATTCCACCCTCGATCGATGGCTGCGCCATCGCCGCACACGCGTCGAATAAAAAGCAAGGGACAAGCCCTTACTTACTAACAACTCCTATCATATTTCATTGCTGGAGGGGTTGCCCCCTTACCTGAAAATCCTGGCTCTGCCATTGCTCTGAATTTCGCCTACTTCACATATCACTGGCCTTATCGCGCGTCGATTTGCGACGACGCACGGCTGCGGTGAACGGTCGCTCCGCCATGGTGGCAAGGCACCTGCCATGCCAAGGATCTTCCATTGTCGCAGATTAACAGCTTCCGAGACTGGAGAGCAGAGTGGATAGCGTGTTTGTACAACGCAGGACAGGTGTAGATCAGAAAGCAAAGAGAGCGAGCTTCAAGGCCTACCAAACAAACACGGCCCTGTATTTGCACTCGCGTGCATTCGATGTGAACTCTTCGCAGCTCGAGTACGGATTGCGCACTCGCGTCTGGGAGTGCGCCTGCCCCACGTGGGCATTCCGCTCGTGAACTACGGCGAGACAGTCTTATGGATCGAGTTATTTTATAGCTTTAAAACTATGACTTGCTTCACACTTGCTCACTGCACCACGATGCAGGCCACCTGTATTAATTTCCTGCCTGCGTACAATATCAGCGACAGATTGGCATCCAAACCTAGAAAGTGGGCATCCCCTGAGTCAACCCGGACTGAAATTAGTAACCTGTAAGGTATGGCCTTGAACACCGGATCTGAGAAGACAAAAGCAGTTTGTATGTGGCACTGGTAACATCTCCCAGTCACGCTCCACCCATACAATAATAAACAATCACTAACTGCACTTGTCCCTATGTTCTCTGAGGCTCTACAAAGGAAGCTTTGTTTTTTGTGTCTGCTAGTGTGTGCGGGCTCAGAACTTAGCACATTGTTCTAGGATGCCAGAAACCTGGCTTTGAGCCCTGGCCATTAAGAATGCCGGTGGCAAATTGTGTCAGAGGCTGCCTAATGCAGTGTGTGAATATCAGCGCTCGAGTGAAAAATGTGGCTGGGCAATACGCTGGTACCACCGCTCGCCCCTGCGGTGTATAAGGCTGAACGAGGGCTCTTTATTTTGTGTCCATGTGTGAATGCGTGCATACGCGTACGCGCGCGTGCACGATTTCAGACGAGAACCAGGCCGGCTTCAAGGATTCGGGGATCCTGCTGTCGTCGCCGAGCCAGCCCCGTGGCACCGGCAGCGTTAGCGGCACGCTCTCCCGGAGCCCGGCCGCCCCCCTCCGCCCCCCGCTGAGCGAGATCGAGCCAGGCGGCGGCGGCGGAGGCGGAGGAGGAATCGGCGGCGGCGGCGGCGGCGGCGGCGTCGTCCCGTCGCTGCCCGACCGCACCCTCCCACGGGGGCCGCCTCTGCCGGGGCGCGAGCCCCCGCCCCCGTACCCGTCGCCCACGTACCCCGGCGGCGTGCCGGCACGCCCCGCGATCCGCGTGGCCGACCTGCTGCAGCACATCGGGCAGATGAAGAGCACGGAGGGGTGCGGCTTCAAGGAGGAGTACGAGGTGCGTGCGCGCACGGTGCGTGCGCCTGCGCTGTGCCCGCTCCGCGACACGACATGGCCGTCTCCGCCGTGGGGGCTTGGCGTCATTCTGCCGGTTAGCTGCAGATGGCCTGGTGCTCGCCGCGGCATTCTCTTAGCAATGGGCCGCTGTGTACCAAGAATAACTTGTGTCTTTACTTTGTGCATATAGCAAAGGGCAGCTTCCAACCGCTTTAAATATTACGTTCAATTTATCCACAATTATTACGTCATGATTAGGCTTGTTTACCCAGAAAGGCCTCACTCAACATACTCTTTGTCAGGAGGGTCATGCCAAGGTGGGGGTGATGTGGCTATGTGTGATTTGAATTAAGTAATTTTCAGGTATTTTTTAGCATTGAGATCGTTGGCCAATACCAGTTACATTGTGTGGTGTTTTAGCTATGGGGGAAAATGGAAAATCCGGAGGAAATGCATATACAGTACAGGGGTACAGAATATAAATTCCACACAGAAAGGCACCCGAGTCTGGAATCGAACCCCCCAGGTCCTTACGCCGCTTGCTGACCCATTAAAATTACGAGACGACAACAAGAGCAGCATTGATGTGATTGTTCTGGTGGGAAAGCCGGTTAAGAAAGACGGGTTCACAGAGTCGCAGCACTTTGATTTTCCCTGAAGCTTCTGGGCCACAACCCCAAAGCGCATCTGCACGGACCATGACAACAGCAGTCGCAAACAACTGATGATGATGATGATGCACATATGGTGTACGACTGTGGTCATGCAGAACAGAACAGAACCATGGCATGTACAACGAGTAAATTCCTGATTCACTAATATGAAGGTGGAGGCATCACAGCAATGCACTCCGCTACTCCTGACACAATTGGCTCAACCACCTTAATTAAAAATGATAGCGTTCGCTTTACGTCAACATCAGCAATATGAAGCATGGTTGCTCCAGAAAGTCGATGGAGAGTCAATATAGAGAGTCGCTGTAGAGACCCCCATGATCGTCAATATATAGAGTGGATGTGTGTCAATATAGGTGATTGGGTCAATCAAGAGAGTCTGTGTCGGGGATTGACATCGAGTCAATAAAGAGATGCTCTTTATAGAGTCGCTGTAGAGAGTCCAAAGAGAAACGAGTCAATGCAGAGAGTTGACGGGCCTCTTACTTGGTGGAAGACTTGACGTGTGTGCATCTGGGGAGTCCTGATGAGGAGGGCTCTGTGCAGATTCCCATGGGAGAGAGTCCCTGGGTCTCCCTGTGCATGCCAGCTCTCCGCTGCATCCCTGTGGTTGTCTTCTCCTGTCGTCCACTGTCGCCGGACGAGCGCGGATCCAGGGGACTTGACCGTCGACTCGGCCGTGAGCCCCTCGCGTTGCAACTCAGCGGCCATTCCCGCTCTTCTGTTCGCACTTTTCCCGCGTGGAATTGGTCGTCCCGCAGTCCAGAATGTTTTTTTCGACGATTGAGGTCGCTGTGGACGTTGGCAGGAGAGGCTTAGCCGGTATATTGTTATCGTGCGCATGACGGTTTAGCCTCCGGGGACATTTCGCGTGTGCGAGGTGAATGCCGGTTCCCAATGACGCATCGCGCTCGCGCACGACCCGTGCAATCCCCGCTCGCGTGCGGAGTGTCTCGGTGTGACGTTACTCGTGGTTTCACCGTTGACCTGTTGCACTGCTCGCCTGCACGCGAGTGGTTACAGCGCAGGTCTTGGGAGGAGGCCACGTGGCTCAGAGGTCAGAGACGCTGAGCCAGCACAGCTGAGCCCTGGGTTTGAGTCCCAGCACCCGCTGTGATTAAATCGGGTTCTCAAGTGGAGTGCGATTATGGTCTCAGCCCGGTCTCCAATGACTGCTTAAAATAAACTTCACGTTATAATTTGGTGCTGCTCTTAATTTGTTTAAAATTCCAGCTCTGACAATGAAAATGATCCCTTTGACCATCGTGAAACAAACATTGCTCTCACATGGCAGGGCAGATGGGAAAGTGTTATCTCCTGTTGTGTGGACCAGGGGACACTCAGTGGTAGCCCTGTGATATTCACTTCCGTGGGCCATTCTCCAATATGAAGGGGTGCACTCTTCTACAAGATATACAAATAGATACTTTGTGTCATTGCATGATACCGATAGCACAATCTGCATGACATTGGGCTAAAATGACAATTTTGTTTAAAGTTTTGTCGGTGGGTTTGTTGATGTGCACGTACTTGTCCGTTCTTTATTTTGTGACTTTCGCGTTCGTCTGTTTGCGCCACCCGCTGCTCCCTTACGCTATCGCAGAGTTTCCTGGATGGGCAGTCGGCGCCCTGGCAAGTGGCGAAGAAGGACGAGAACCGTGGCAGGAACCGCTACGGAAACATCATCGCCTGTGCGTGCCGCTCGCCGCTACACCGTCACCGCCGGATCGGCGGCTTTTCATTAAAACATTTCAGCGAGCCGATCGGCAATCTCTCAAACACTAAATAAGGGGCCATTGCCTGGAACATTAGCTTATTATTAGGAGTGGAACGACGCATTGATTCTTCATTTAATATCCATCCTGAAGCTCATGATACATGCATCCAATCGCATGTGTGAGAACCAGTGTTTTTCCATTCGTATTTGTCATCGTCGTCATTGTTGTGTATGTAATGGTTACACGTTGTTGTCTATGTAATGATTACACGTTGTTGTCTTTGTAATGGTTACACATCATCCACACGGCCACAAGAGGTGCCACCATGCACCACCACAAAACAAATGGAATCATTTTTAGAATAGAACCGCACCCCTGAAGTTTTAATCCAGTGTTTGTCATTGTTGCCTGTGGTGAAACACTCTCAGCTTAATTTAATTTGCTGTGCATGTTTCTGTTTGTGTGTCTATGTGTGAGCTATCAGGAGCGGTAGTGTAGCAGTTAACACGCTGCTTATCAGTCTGTTAAGGCTATATGGGGGATCTTTGTCTTTGTGTGTGAGCTGTAGGGTAGCGGTTAGTGCGTGTGAGCTGTAGGGTAGCGGTTAGCGCACTACGCTACGAATCCGGCGACCCGAGCTTAATTCCCGCACACGGCCAACACCAGTGACTATTATCCGAACCGGTCCTGGGCATCCCTTCGGCCGACTCGGTCCCACACGAGTACCTGGTGTGGTGTTTAAACATCGCCACTGGGGAGACAAAGGTGGCGGCCGGGCGTGGTACTGGCCACCCACACCGCCGTCGTGTGCTGTGCCCGCCTTCGTAGGTGCTCGCTAACAGCACCTTCCCCAGCAGCCGATGTGGCTCACGAGGAGGAGCCATTGGTTTTTGCGTTCTCCTGGAGCGAGCGGGACCAGCCAGCCACGCAGCGGCGCACACAGCGGTGGTCGCCGCCCGCCCTCCGGGTGCTCCGCTAACGGGAGACGTTTGTCTTTGCGCGTGTGGATGCGATGCCAGACGACCACTCCAGGGTCGTGCTCGAGCCTCTGGAGGGGAAACCCGAGTCCGACTACATTAACGGCAACTACGTAGACGTGAGTACCCCCGGCGGACGAAGCGCAACGCGCTGGCCCGACCGTCGCTCATGCAGGACGACGGCTGTGCGCGTAATAAAAATAATTTTATTAATGCTATAAAAACGCTGCTCCATGATTTAGCAAAAGTCCATGGCGCTATCGATTTTATTCTGCGCCCGTCTCTAGCTGGAGCTCGACACCTCCATCTATAAGTCTCTCCCCGCGGGGTTATTTTTGTTCTGGGCGTGGGGAAGGCGATGCGGCGGCTGCGCCGGATCCCGCCGCCGCCTCGTGACCTGACGCTCGTCAGAGCCGAGTGGCCTCTGCCTCCCGTCTGCAGACCCCTCCCCATCCCTCTCCCCATCCCCCTCCCCCCATCACCGCTCCGGTGCAGCCACCACTCGCTTCCAGCCGACCAGTTCGCCCCGCTTGCTGCTCCATCCCAGATGTAGCAACAAGGCCCACGCGCCTGAAGAACAACTTTTTAATCCGCGATGACTACCTGCCGTGATATGAGTCACAAATACGGACGCTGACGAATGAGGTAAAACCAAAGCTCAAAGTGCGAAAACAGCGTGTGCTCTCTCAGGATTACACCGAGACATACGTAGAGCAGCATGTGGATTATAAAACATGCGCAGGTCAACCGCGGAATCTTTGATCGTTAAGAAAAGCAAAGGGGGTTGGACAGATGCGTCACTAGAGGGGATGATGCCCGAAGGGCGATAGTAACGACAGAGTGGCAGCCAAGATGGGAATGCGCCCAAGAGTCCATCCACTGCTGAGGTGCAGCGATGATGAGTTGGGCTCATGCGCAGGTTCTGGTTGGATTGTTACATCGCAGGACTGTGACGGATGGTGGCGACTTAGGAAGGCCTTCATCCAGCAGTAGATTGATCATGATTGATGATGATTAATGAGAGATCCAGATTGTCAAGTGAGCTGGCATCTGTCAGTCAGTGTCTGCGATTTAACCAGGAGAGGAGATTACCCCACTGAGACCCACGGACATAATTGCGTCTATTTCAAGGGCAACCTGGGTTGCATCGAACCATTTCAAATATGTAGGCATTCCAAAAATATATATTTTTTTATTTAACTTGATACTAAATAAAACAATAATTAAGATAAACTAGATTATTAAGGATAAACAAAGAAAGTGAATGGCACTATTAAAAATTAAAAGAAAATCATGTAGGCAGCTACGGAAGGTCCCGAGGTTAACGGCACTTTTGTGTGCCAGCGTACGCAGACACCCATGCACACACCCTCACGCACGCACCCACATGCACATGCACACCCACACACGCACCCACACACGCACACCCACACGCACACACGCGCACCCACACGCGCACCCACACGCACAACCCACACGCACATCCGCACGCACACCCGTACGCGCACCCACACGCGCACCCACACACAACCCACACGCACACCCACATGCACACGCACACCCACACGCGCACCCACACACAACCCACACGCACACCCACATGCACACGCACACCCACACGCACACCCACACGCGCACCCACACGCGCATTCACACGCACAACCCACACGCACATCCACACGCACACCCGCACGCACACCTGCACGCACACCTGCACGCACACCCACACGCACACCCACACGCTTATGCACCATATCGGGAAGTCATCAAAGCGCCACATAAAAGGGATGGGCGAGACGAGCGCCGTCAGAACGGAGCCGAAAGGTGCAGCTCGGAGAGTTGTGGAAACAAGCGCTGGAGGCTGAGCGCTTGTGAGTGAGTGACAAAGGGGGGGAGCGAGGGGGGGGGGGGGGAGACGGAGTGACTCTGCACCTGACAGCTGGGCCTCTTTGAGTGCCGAGTGAAGGGCTGTAGTCTGGCAAACAGCATCTCCGCGACCCTATTATCCTCTTCATGAGCAACGCGGCCGGGAAGTTCAATAATCGCGCCTCTTCTCGTGAAATTGGAGCCCATTGTGAGCGCGAGTGCTTTTGACGAGCGGAGTGGATCGCCAGCGATCCCAGCGACCCGGGTTTCACTCCCGACCGCAGTGCGCAATGTTAGCGCCAGCTGCCTTCTGACTCTGGCCTCGGCCACTTGCATTGAATAGAGCCATATTCAATGCAAGCGGCCTATTTAATGCAAGTGGCCGAGGCCACAATAACACGTAATGAGTTTGTGTACCACTGCCGCTCGTAGATCAACTCAGCTTCAAATGAGAAGATGATGTAATGGTGCGATGAGCATCAGTACAGGAGAAGCAAAAACGTGCAGGACACACCACCCCATCTCGTGTGCAATGCCACTCTTCATAGGGGCTTGCCTACAGTTTGCGCTTGTTGACCGTATATGCCGCTAACCGTGTCGTGTATGTTGTGCATTGTGCATGTGTGCGCGTGTGCGTTGTGTGTGTGTTGAATTTCAGGGCTATCAGAAGCAGAGGCAATACATCGCCACGCAAGGTGAGGCACGGTGGTGGTGTGCGATGTGCCTGACCGTCATGCAACGCACGCTCAGCGAAACGCCCGCGGTGGTTTTTCAACACCAACGTTCACACCGCGCGTGGCCGCCCACAGGAATTCCAGCGCCACTGCGTTTCGCCAAGTTCCTCACTGCCGCCGCATCTATTGAACCCTCGCCACCGGCAGAGATGGGCAAGCGTCTAGATGGCGTGTAATTCAAACATGTAATTCATAAGGTTTCTCGGCAGAATATAACATCGCGGGATCGTGAGAGGTTGTGGTGGCTCCGCTATCCAGCAGTGGATTCGCTGATTATGATGATGGTTATGTTGGTGACGATTTAAGTTAGCCACCCCAAAGTAATTTACATTTTGTATCTAAATCACACAACACGCAGTTAATTTGTGTCTATGTTACTTTGCTCCAGAAATGTGTAATATGAATTTGTTTTGTTCATTTCTGCACCTACAGCTAGCCACTGGCAAGAGCGGTCTCGTGGCACCTAAATCTCGCGTGGCCTTTGTCTCGTGGCACCTAAGTCTCTCTAAGTCTCGTGGCACCTACGTCTCTCTAAGCATCGTGTGACTCAAGTCTCGGATGACCAAATTCCCTCTCCTTGGGCAATGCTGCACTCTGAGCCACTCCCAAGGCAGATTTCCCACACAGACAGTGTATGGTTGTCTTAGACCTGAAGACTCGGGTTGTATAGCACTTTTTATGGGTTTTTATTTATTTAATTTTATTCTCACTTTAATGAAATTTCTGTAAAGTCTGTCAATGCTTTTCAATTTTTTATCATTCTTCAACAAAATTGAGTTCTGCTTCATCTCGGTGCCAGACACAGACGGTGTTGCGTCCGAGACCACGGCGCAAGTTTGTGTCTGGAAATGTCTTCCATCCAAAATGATGACCTTTTTCTTCCCACTATTCGAGGAAAAGTGTTGTTGTTGTGAAAATAGCTGCTTTGTTTGTGGCATTCTCTGAAAACGGGTGCAACTTATTGTTTTTTCCCACACGAGGCAGCTGTTTTTTTGCTGCAGAATTTGCCGAGAATGACTGTGTGTCTTTGTTAAGTAGACGAGGCTTCATTATCTCATTTTCCATGAGGGCCCTCTAGGAATGTTTTCTGCCGAGGTCCAACGGTGCCTACGCAAAACAGGAAGACTGAAGAAGATGATCGGCTAAAGTCCGCCTTCCTGGCATTGTTTGTTCAAACAAAAGCCTTGCCGGCTGACGTCAGAAAACGGCCTTTTAAATCCGGCGTGGGGAGCTGCTCCGTCTCCCAAGGCCTCCCGTTTCCGCCCGCGGCCACTCACATTCATTTGCGAGGCTCTCTTTGTGTACGCTTATGGGCAGTTGCACATTTTCATTTTTGGAATTCCACACCCTTTTATTTCCATCCCTCTCTTTAGCGATACTGTATCTCTTTCTCCCTCTAATGCACAGTTTTTTTTGACGTTTCGCAAGACGATATTCCACGTATTTTTTATTTTGCTCGGGGCGTTTGTGCAAACACGTGAGAGCGCGCATGGAGACACTCGCTGCATTTTGCTGTCTGAGCCGCGAGATCCGTTTGTGCGAGAGCTAGGGGAGGCACAGATGCGCGAGCGTTGTGATTTATGATGCCTAAACAGAGCCGCAACACGTCCCATTTGCGTGGGACAGCGGTGGCCCTGAGCGTCGCCACCCCTCGCCGCTTTTCCCTTCCTCGAATTTTTGTTCAATCCATGGTTCTGCGAGCGTGGCCGTGAATTGCAATGACGGTGAGGAGAGGTCGCGTGCTGCTCGTGTGGCACTGTTTTTTCTTCACTTGAAGTTTTCCCATAACTCTCGTATGATTGGCAGCTCTGAAAATTGAGCCTGCTACGCGTCTGGATTGTGGATTTAATTAATGAAATGGATTAAAAACAAATGAATAAATAATGACCTTGGTGCAAACTGCAGTTAATTGGATTTGTTTTTATTAATTATATAACATTTACTTATTACTTTTGAGAAGGGTTGAAGCTGAAAGAAGACTGCCGACGATGGCTCTGGGGCCTGGGAAGCGTCACCCTTGCCCTCCGCTGCGCTGCCAACCGAGACGACGCCTCTTTTGTGCCGTTGACGACTTCTGTTAAATTCGTTCCGATGTCTCCATTATCAGAGCCCGCTGATTTTCAAATAGTGTTTTTTTGGCTGATGAAATGTGATGGAAGCTGGCGGGATGTATTGATTTATGTTGGGCACATTCTCCCTCCTCTGACGCTCCTCCGGTCAATGGGAGCTTTCATTAGACGCACGATAAAGACGGCCATCGCTCCCGCGCGGCTGATGAAAACCTGCGAAGCGTCAAGTCCATCAACCTTCCCCGCAGCCGATTACCCTTTAAAGCGCGCGGCAATCAAACCCATTATGATTAAACACCGCGGCTCACGGCCAAAAATGTCAACTCGTCGCCTCGGCGTAAAACCGCACGGTTCAAAACATGTTTTTTCCCTCTGTCGGCGCCCCTCGTTTCATCTCCTAACCGTGACGGCGGTACGCAGCTCTGGCACACGCCTCACCCTTGCCACTGCCACGTGCGCCCCGCGTGTGTCCCGCGTGTGTCCCGCGTGCGCCCCGCGTGCGCCCCGCGTGCGCCCCGCGTGCGCCCCGCGTGCGCCCCGCGTGCGTCCTGCGTGTATCCTGCGTGTGTCCTGCGTGCGTCTGCGTGCGTCCGCGTGTCTGGGAGTGACTCGAATGTGTGCACCACAAAGGGAGTGAAATGGCCTTTAAGGAGCCACTACCTATAACACGTGAAATAAATAAACGTGCGGGCATGTCTCATGAGCAACACGTAAATAAAAAATCGCATCTGTCACCCTAAAATCCTTTACAGGTAATATGTTGTGTCCGGGATCCATGACAGTGTAATTATAATTATTCTGTGAAATTAACAGAGATCTTCTGCTGCTCAAACGAGCATTGAGGCGGTGTTCACCTCCCATTTACAACCTTGAGCCAGTGGTGGGAATTGCACATTTCCATGGCGGGGGTGAGTCCACCCATAGAATAACTACTTTGAAATCCCGATAAACTGGTATGTATTTTATCGACCTGACAGGACGATTAGCCGTGTCAACTCCCAATCAGGATTTGAACTCGTAACTTTCAGATTGCGAGCCACTCGCTCTACTACTAGGCTATTTAATTTATGCATATTATTAACTGAATTCAATTTGCGACGTATAAATGTGTATTTTTGGAAATTGAATGTTTATTGCTTCAGCTGTATGAATCGATATATCACAGGTTAAGTACATATCTTTTCGGTTTAAGTGCATTTATTTCCGTAACCCGTTATTGATATTTATTGACTAAAAGGTTAGGGTGCTTTTTAACTCAGTCGAGTGTGGAGCAGAGCTCACAGTTTAGATTACCATGGTGACGTTGCCGTGAACTTCACGCATTGATTCCTCCAGACACTGATGATTTCACGTATGTTTGTATGTATGTGGAACTTCTTTCACACCCTACGTAGCCAACTGTGCTGATCGCTGCAGATTTTGCTTGTTCCCCTGCACTCCTCCGCTTTGGAATCCTCTGCCGTTGTCTCTTTTGCAAAGCTGTTATAATCACATTGCTAATTGTGCTGGGCCACTTGGCATTTCAGGCATTTGGGTCTGTGCTCGGCAACCGCGATAAAAATAACCTGCAAAAAAATCGACGGCCTCTCCACGTGCGCATCTGCGACAATACACCGCTATAAACGGCGGTAGGGAAGCACTGACCGACGCCCGTTGCTCCCCGGTCTGGCGCGACCCTCGCTGGTGTTAACCGGTCTCACTGGGGCCGATTTACCCGGCATCATGACGGCATGCGGTAAAAACCGATGGCTTTTTCTGAACCCCCCCGCCCCGTAATCGTCGACTCGTCTCGCCGCCTCCGCCAGGCCCCCTGCAGGAGACGGCAGTGGACTTTTGGAGGATGGTGTGGCAGGAGAAGTCGTCCAGCATCGTCATGGTCACGAATCTCGTGGAGGTTGGCAGGGTGAGCGCTCGCACTGTGCCCGGTTGCACGCTTCTCTCATTGTCACCATCAGCCATGATCTATCCACCGCAAGACGAAGGCCTCGCTAAGCAAGCCGTCTGCTTCTCTTGCCATCTCGTGATGCACCGATCTATAGTATGGGCTGATGTCATCCCTCCACCTCCGTGCTTGACGTCTCCACGGGCAAGTTCCCCAACTCCCTCGCCCCCCTATGCCGTGCGTGAGCACATTTGTTGTGCTCACCGCCTTGTGGCTTGTGTATCCCATGTGGCCCGCCCCCCCGCCATGCCGCGGAGCAGGTGAAGTGTTTCAAGTACTGGCCGGACGACACGCAGCTGCTCGGGGACATCGCCGTGACGCTGCTGCACACGGAGCTGCTCGCGGAGTACGTCATCCGTACGTTCTCCGTCAAGCGGGTGAGACGCTCGCACGCCAGCCATGGCGGCGGTGCCAAGAGTCGGCCGTTAGCGGATTTCTGCCGCTGCAGCCTGTTGGGATGGCTATATTTCCCGCTCCCGTTGAGTGAAACGACAACGTGGCTACACGGCCAGCTCCTTTGAGCTGGTGGCTTAGGCAAGGCTGAGAGAGCATTGAACATGCAATGCGGTGGTCACACGACGTGCACGCAGGGCACGATCGGCGTTGTCACCTACCCGTTATTTGCGAGCGCGCCCTGGCGCATTGGCAAATCTGATTGCAGGCTGCACGCATTCTCCTTCTGCTGGTGTTGTGATGGGGTTCTCATCGTTTAGTGTTGGATCTGGATCTGCCACCTCCCGTGTTCTATCCATTGTTTGATGAATTGTTACAAGTCGAGGGTCACGACTCCTTTCAATAATTGATTAAATGTTTCTCATTTGTGCCATTTCATTTGTATTCTGTCTCGTATGTTCTTTCAGTTATTCTGTCTTGTTTGTGCCATTATCCTGAAGGTTACATTTGCATATAATTTACATACATTTTAAGAACAATATATTGACATTGAAGAGGCATTTTAGTAAACATGACAATTTATTAATTATAAGTGATTTAAATGAGTATTCGACACTAGGTACATGATTGTCCACATGTCTGTGTGTGTACCTGTGTCAGTGGAGAGTGGTAGTGTAGAGGTTAGCGCGCTGCGGCTACGAACCCGGCGTGCCGAGTTCGATTCCTGCTCACGGCCAACACTAGTGAGGATTACCTCAAACCGGTCCTGGGCCTCCCTTAGGCCGACTCAGCCTCAAATGAGTACCTAGTGCGATGTGTAACCATTGCCACTAGGGAGACAAAGGCGGCCGGGCGTGGTGCTGGCCACCCACCCCCTCGTGTGCCGTTCCGGCTTTCATAGGTACTCGCGAACAGCACTGGCCCCAACAGTCTGGTAAAGGTTATACGGGGGACATCACCGTCACTGAGTGGCGAACGGCAGCTGTTGCTACGAGTGTGTTGTGTATGTATGTACGTACATATTACACGTGTTGTGAGTGCGTATGAGGATCTCTGCACTCGCATCAGTGGGTGTTTTTCTCTGTTCTGCCTGCGCGCGCTCTCGCTCTCTCGCACAACTGATTTACACGTGGTCTCCCTTGAACAGGAGATGTTTGTTGTTGCAATGGGCTCTCACCTGGCCATAAACAACGGCCACCCCGTCGATTAATCAATACGTCGTTACGTGCGTCATAATGATGATAACGATAGCCTCCTTCACGCGGCCAGAACAGTCTGGCCGCGCGTTCCGGAGAGACCTTCTCTCGCAGAGGCGACACCCAGACAACCGAATCGCATCCCCGAGCCGCACATAAGAGCCGCGACGTTCATCGTCAGCCCGCGGTCGATCCGCCACTGTGTGAAGGCTGCCACCGCTGCCGGTGCCTCTACACAATGTGGGTGCTGTCCACATGGCATCAAGCAATGGGGGGGGGGTGGGGGGCCGTGGTGACCTCTCCAAGCGTGGGAATGCGTCGCGAGTCTCAAGGCTAATAAACTCAGAGACCGGTAAACTCACCCTCGCCTAACGTAGTAGGAATGGCGTCGGCCATGAATATATCAGCGTGTTCACAATGCCCAAAGCGCCACACACTTTAAATATTCGGATATATAATCATATATATAAAAAGTTACATATATATGGAAGACCTTTATTTAGAGCAGGTGAGAGCTGATGTATAATTAAGCTATTACAAATATAAAATGTGCTGTATTACATTTTGATATATAGCACAGGTGTAAAATCAATGGAAAAGTGAAAAATGACAGCTTGAATATTTAATGCTCACGTGTGCAGCGCGTGTGTGTATGTGTGTGTATGTGTGTGTATGTGTGTGGGGCGAGGTAATGTAGCGGGTTAGCGCACTGCGCTATGAACCTGGCATCCCGGGTTCGATTCCCGCTCACGGCCACTAACACCGGTGACGATTATTTGAACCGGTCCTGGGCCTCCCCTAGGTCGACTCAGCCTCAAATGAGTACCTGGTGCACTGTGTAAACATCGTCACTGGGGAGACAAAGGCGGCCGGGTGTGGGGCTGGCCACCTACCCCCTCGTGTGCCGTACCGGCCTTCATAGGTGCTCGGTAATAGCATGTGCCCCAAAAGTCTGTTAAGGCTATACCGGGGATCTTTGTTTTTTTGTATGGGTGTGTGCATGTGTGCGTGTTGTGGTGGGCCTGGTCCAGGCTACACTGCCCCTCCCCACCCCCGAGCACCACGCCAGCCTTAATGGGTACTCGCTAACAGCATTGATCCCAACAGTTTGCCCAGTGTAAGTAGAGGATGATCTTAGGTAATTGGTTCTGGCATCCCATGCTCTTCATAGTGGCAGTCGTTTGGGATTCACTTTCAACGCGCTCCACACGCGACAACCACCGTACAGCACTTGATGCCACCAAACAGTGCAATTTACAGCATGGAGCAACGTGCAATCATCCATCACCTAAGAGAGGCTTTCTATTCCAAAGAGAGCCATTCAGTCACGGGAGAGTGCGAGTCCATGATATGTTTCTCTATGTGAGTCTATGGGTTTGTATATAAGTCTATGGTTACCTATGTGAGTCTGAGTGTCTATGTGAATCTTTGGATCTCCGTGTAAATCTGTGGATCTCTGTGTGATTCCGTGCATGTCTGGGTGCCGTCTCCATGTGTGCACAGAAGGGCTACTTTGACGCGCTCGAGGTGCGGCAGTTCCACTTCACGGGTTGGCCTGACCACGGCGTGCCGGCGTTCGCCACGGGCCTGCTGTCCTTTGTGCGACGCGTCAAGGCCTCCAACCCCCCCGAGGCCGGCCCCATCATCACACACTGCAGGTGCGGTGTGCCCCATGGGCAGCCACGGTCCCACTCTGCCCAGGTCCCAGTGCCGCCCCATGTATCAGCACGGCCACATTTTATTTTCAGATCGAGAGATTCTGGCAATTCTTTGGTTGGAGGCGAGTGTTGGTGATTTGCGTAGAGATTTGTGAAACTAACTCCCGAACCTGTGAATATATTATTTAATCCTTTGTCCTTCCATCCTCCTTTCAGAATGGATTTTTGCTCCATGCATCCCTCTAGTAGTTGAGCGAAATCAATTAAAATAAGTTCCAGCCATTCCCAATCCACTGTTGGATGAAGGCCTCCTAAAGCCATGTCGGTCATGTTTTTTTGTTTACATTCTTCACCGTTCCAGTTAGTGTGGGTTGGTAACTGAGCATAACAGCGTTGGGTGTCATGCATGTGCGTTGCATGTGCTGTCCCCCCAACTCCTTGCCCTGTGGGGATAGTGCGGGTGCGGGCCGCACAGGCTGCTACGTGGTCATCGACGTCATGCTGGAGATGGCCGGGCGCGAGGGCGTCATCGACGTCTACAACTGCGTCCGCGAGCTGCGGCTGCAGCGCGTCAACATGGTGCAGACCGAGGTGACGCGCGCCGCTCCTCCTCGTCGTCATACCAGATCGCCACTCACCCTGCTCCTCCAGATTCTCACTCATCTCAGATCCTCGCTCACACACTCCAATTTCCCCACTTAACCCACATCTCCATGTCTCTACAACCCTGCCCCTTAGATCTATACTTATCACAGAACCCGACTCACTCCATATCTCCATTTCCACAGAACCTTGCTGTTTTTGAATCCCAATAACCTCCCCACATCTTCACTCTATCAGATTTGGGATCTTCTGCATCTCAATTTCCACAGAAAGTCTTGCTCCTTTTGATTCTCACTTGTTCCAAATATCCACTCTGACTTCTTCCCTGAGATTCACACTCACTCCTGGCTCGCTACCCCCCCCCCCCTCTCCCTGCAGGGTCGCACTGATCCCTGGTTCCCACTCGTGGCTACCCTCCAACCTGCTCAATCCCTCACTCACTCACGATAAGACTATGTAACATAATTTTTGTTCCTGGGTAGTAAGTGTTATTTCATAAATTCCTTATGCTTTAAAAGTATAGAAAATAGCTATTATTCCTTACAAACTTTGCTTTTGTAACCAGGACAGTGATATTTTGAAATGTACTTATTTTCAATGAGAAAACGGGCGAATTTGTGTCTTTTCGTTCACATAAAGTCAGAAAAAAAAACATTTATCAAAATTAACATGTATTTATACTAAAGTAATACAAAAACGACTACAAAAGATTTAGAAGTGAGTCGTTTTTCAAGATTTACGATTATACTGTAAATCACTTTCACGAATCAGCCCCCAAATGTAGTCTCCCATCATGTTCTCGTTATACTGTCCTTGGTAGCGGCGTTCAAAGTCCAGTATATCCTGGTGGAAGTGCTCGCCTTTCTCCTCCGAGTACGCTCCCATGTTCTCCTTGCATTTATCAAGATGAGCATAAAGGATATGGACTTTGAGGGACATAGTTCTTCACTAGAGTCTCAACCAGCTCCACATAATCTTTGACCTTTTGATTGCCCATGAAGCCATGAACCACTGCAACAAAGCTGTCCCAAGCCGCTTTCTCCCTACTAGTAAGCTTCTTGTGGAATTAATTGCACTCCAGGATCGTCTTTATCTGTGGTCCGACGAAGACACTGGCTTTGACCTTTGCCTCAGAAAGCTTAGGGAAGAAGTCTTGAAGGTACTTGAAGGCTGCTGGCTCTTTATCTACAGCTCTGATAAATTGTTTCATAAGGCCCAATTTGATGTGCAGTGGTGGGATCAGCACCTTCCGGGGGTCCACCAGTGGCTCCTACTTGACGTTGTTCCTCCCCACAGAGAACTCGGTCCGCTGTGGCCAGTCCCGCCTGTGGTAGTGCGCCTTGGTGTCCCTGCTGTCCCAAAGGCAAAGATAGCAGGGAAACTTGGTAAAACCGCCTTGGAGACCAATCAGGAATGCCACTATTTTGAAGTCTCCGATGACCTCCCAAACGTACTCATCATACTTCAAGGCGTCCAGCAAGATCTTGATGCTGTTGTAATCCTCTTTGAGGTGCACTGAGTGAGCCAGGGGAAGAGACGGGTACTTGTCACCATTATGGAGCAGCACGACTTTGAGGCTCCTGGATGAGCTGTCAATGAAAAGGCGCCAATCACACTGGTTACAGGCGATTCCGATTGCCTTGAACAGACTGGCCACATTGTGGTAAAAGCAGAGCCCATCTTGACAGGTGAAGAAGCTGCAAAATGGTTGGTGACGCTTCTTCTGATCTGCGACTTGCACTCTTTCATCCAACAAGTTCCACTGCTTGAGCATATACATCAAAAGCTCGGCATTGGACTTGGTGAGACCAAGATCTCTGATCAAGTCGTTGAGGTCTTTTTGGTTGGGGTAGTATGGGTTTCTCTCTGCAGCTCCACCTCTGAAATTGTCATCTGGATCTAAAACGTCTTCCTCACTCTCTGACTTGCTGCTCTCTTCTAAAGACAGCTGCTCTCTCTCCGGAGGAGTGGGTACGGGGAGCTCATGGCAGTGTGGCACCAGGGCGATGGATGAAGGAAGGTCCGGATACGTGATAGCAGGTGCATTATTGCCAGTCCGATGTTTGGAAGGGTCCACCATGCAGAAGTAGCAGTTTCTTGAGTGGTCAGTGGGTTCCCGCCAAATTCTTGGGATATGCGAACTTCATGGCTCTCTTTTCCCCTCTGTACCATCCTACATAAATACATTTATTTCACCCATGACTAATGTGTAAGAGATTCTCGCAACATTTTTCATATATGATATATTTGTTCAATTATATTGAAAATTGTAAAACGTTTTAAAATGAAAAAACTTTTACAATTTAAAAATGTTAACAAATTTTATAACATAAAATTCTGAGCAACAATTGTCCATCTTATCTTCCAGAGTTTTTTTGCATTGCTCGCAGGTGCAATGAGGTGCCCAGGGTTTGTCTTGATCCCTGACAGGCATGCATAAATATGCCTTGTAGGCCTCGCACATCTTAGCAGGTGATTCCACATAGTAATTTTTCTCTCTTGTCTTGCTAAATTGGCCGCAGACATCGCAAAATGCATCTGCCGGATGCTTGCAGCCTCTTAATGCCATCTCAGAAAAATGCAGATATGTATCCACTTAGGCAGCTGGAACTAAACTGAACTGGGGGGCTTAAGGCCCCTATATTTGTACTACTATTTATATTACTGGAAAGTTCTAGAATGTTCTATACGTTACTCCAAGTTTACTGAGCAATGAATCTATCTGGAATGTTCTGTAAAATAGGTACATTTCTAAATATCACTGTCCTGGTCACAAAAGCAACGTTTGTGGGTAATAATAGCCATTTTCTGTACTTTTGAAGCATAAGCGATTAGGAAATAACACTTACTACCCAGGAACAAAACAAATGTGCTACACAGTGTTTGTTATCAGCTCATCCTCGTTTCTTTGCTCATTAATCTCTTCAAGTAAATCACTCGCACGCACACCCCACTCGACCTAACCAAATCTGCCCTGACTCTCGCACACACGCACGCACAAAGACAAAGAGTCTTCCTAGGAGAGGCCAGGACCGGTTCAGATGTTTGTCACTGATGTTTGCCCTGCGCAGGAATTGATCTCTGCTCGCCGGGTTCGTCGAGTAGTACACCAATTACTCTACTGCTGCTCCACACTACATCTACTCATGCATTCACACACAGAGACAAAGGTTCCCCATATAGCCTTGCCAGACTGTTGGGGCAAGTGTTGTTAGCGAGCACCTATGAAGGCCGGCACGACACCCGAGAAGGTGGGTGGGCAGCTCCACGCCCGGCCGCGTTTGTCTCCCGAGTAGTGATGTTTACACACCATGCCAGGTAAGCAGTTGAGTACCTGGCGTGGTGTCCTGGGCCCTCCCCTATGTCGACTCGGTCTCAAATTCACACACACTCTCTGTGGGTTGACAGAATTCTCATGTGTGTGTTTTTTGTCTTATTTTGTACGTTTGCACTGTGAGCCACAAACAGAGCGGCCGGTGCATTCATCATAAACAACTCGGTTTGTTGTCACAACTATTTTCTTAAAAATAAAGAGGAGAGGATTGCGTTGGCGAGCGAGCGAGGGGGGAACATCGCAGGAGGTGAGGGCGGAGGGCTGAGGGGGTGGGGAGATTGTATCAGCATTAAAGAGAGAGAGGACAGAAGGGAGAGGGAGGTGACACCAGGAGAGGAGACGAGTGTGTGATGCGGGGAGAGCGAGCAGGGAGGGAGGCCGAGTGATGAGGCCATGCAAGAGGCTGCTGCCTCCCCGCGTCGCGATGCACGAGTCGCGCTTAATTATGACGACGGCGGCGCAGAGCGTGGATGCTGCCGAGCCCAGGCGCAGCAGCTGCTGCTGATGGAATTAATTAGTTAATTAAAAGAACGACATCGTGGCTAAGCGGCGCGTATCGTCGCCGCTCCGGTGCCGCGCCCCGCAGAGAGCGAGCGGCCCACCCCGGCGTGTGCGTCGGCCGTCCCAGCTGCCAGATCGGCTTCCTGTTTGTGTTGTTGTAGTCGAGAAGAAGCCGGCAGGTGCGACTCTGTCTCAAGAGGCTCACAGTGGCCTGGTCAGAGACACCAAGGTCGTGAGCTTGAATCTGGGTGGCTACCCGTGCTTCTCACGAGTGTGGCGAGTTGGTGGTCGAAGCCAAGTTACAATAACCGCACAAAAAGACATTTAATTAGATGTGTTGCTGCATCTGTCCTAGCGCAAGTAAAATACACAATTGTCATATCGGATGACTGCCATGCGGTTCGCCACTCGTTATAGAAAGTTAGTTAATCAATACAAGAGGTGAGAGCTCTTGCGAGAACATGGTCTGGGTCTCTGGGATCAATCCCTCCACGGATACCTGGAAGCTCTGCTGGCTGCGGGAATCCCACAGTGACTTCCTCGCTCGCACCGTGCCCCTGCGCCGCTTGCCTCGACGTCATGGAGATGGTGGAGAAAATCAAACGAGAAAATAATCATCATGGGACCTCCTTTGCCAGTACCAAAATATGAGAATAGGTTTTCCCCTTTTATCTGGCAACAAAACAGGTGTTAAGATGTTAAAACACCAAACTGAAACCTTTCACAAGGAATCATGTCTGCACTAACCACAATACTTGTGGTCATAATGTAAACAAAAAAACATACTCTGATAATATATGCATTGTCTTTGAAACTGATTGGTCCACACCAGAGACAGCTTTTTTTAGCCTAGTCTCAATACGGTGTTAGACCAGAGGAGAAAATAATTGTTTACCTTTCAGCGCTTGTTTTCGATGCACGTGTGCCTTTTGTGGAGATTAAAAAAAACCGAGGCAGAGCGGTGCTTTTGAGAGTTTTAACATAACAGTAAATTGGTTTGAGCCTTTGGAGAAATGTTGACGTGGGACATAACAACTTTATCGATAGTTTTTTTTACTGATGGTAAAACCGGAGAAGGTAGCAGCCCCGTGGCGTCTCTTAAGAGGTGGCTTCTTTCATCTCGCACCGGCCTCAGCCATCCCCGCGAAGCCAC